CAGCCATCTGCCTCTCATCTCTCCTATCACCATTTTTTTTTTTTGAAATAAAAGAAGTTGTATTAAAAGATCTGTACCAAGGGGGGTACCACCCAATAACACAGCATTTCCATCTCTATCAAATAATCCTATCACCAATTTTTATCAACTCCGATTTTGCCAAATTAATTTTTAATCCCAAAACCATTTGAAAACAAAGTAATATACAGCAAAGATGTAGCAACCATGACTAGTTGTTGGTGTAGTTCAAGATTGAAAACCTAAGTAACTTGACAAATCCATAATTTCATTAGCTCATAGAACATCGAAAGACATCCAAAACTAAACAAACCTACATCTAAATTAACCAACTTCACCATATTATGGTATTGGTCACTTAGAATTATTCAAAATGAAAAGAAAAGGGAACGAGGAAAATTAATTCCCAATCCATAGAACATTTGGGCTTTCTCCTTTTCACTGTGAATAGGAAAATAGTTGAGAGAAGCAAGCAGTTCTACATATAACAAAAAATTTCACACATGGCTCCTAGAAGTGGGCATATTGCCAAACCATATTAAAATTATCTTTGTTATTTTTTCTATATCTATTGCTCTAACTTTATTTTGTGCATTGGGTAGGTAATTATACAGCAAATTAGTCTACAGTGTCGCTTCTCTTTTCATCTTTGGTTGATGATAAACATTCTTTTGGGGGCTTAATTGGTCATGCCCGGTTTGGTAAGACGAGATTTGGGCTTGTTTATAGGGAAAAGTGTTTCAAAAGAAATTTAGACCTTACAGGTTATTTTGTCGGAAGGATGCAGAAGGATTTTAAAGGTATAGAACTTTCTCTTGATAGAACTAAGGATGCTCAGTTCCAGACCCAAGGTTTTTTGGTAAAGGGTCACCCTCTTTGTACTTTAGAGGATTTAGAATATTTAACTGATACTTTGACAGATTTGTAAAGCATCATATACAGGTTGCACCTTTCTTGCCCACATACAAGATACCAATTTTTATTTTCAAAAAAACAGAGTAAATCAATCCCTGATTTGACCTAGAACAACTAGTCTGAATGCTAAAAATT